AACAATCTTCACAAGTTCATGCTGGTAGATCACTCTCTGCCTGCTGCCATACGGTTTTGTGTAGGTTACGTTTTCATATTTAATTTGTGTGCACTGAAAACAGCCTTACCCAACATCAGGTTTCTCTGGATGTGAAGTAAACAAATCTGTAGAGTCTCAGTTCCTGGAGATGGGACACACTGTTTCAACAATGCCTTGATGGCTGTTTAACCTTTCACATTAATTGACTGCCACTGTTACCAACACGTTAGCTGCCGCCCTGACACACGTGTGAATTTGTTTATCTCATTTTACTTTAATTTGTTGTGTTCAAATTCTGGGTTTATTAATGTGGAGCGTCATTCTGAACATGTGCTGAATATCAACAACACAATCAACTACATTTTTGTGATGAAAAAAATAAAAAAGACAGAACATTGAATTTGTCGACGCAAATGATTTTCATTTTTTAAGAATGTGGATACAACCATGGAAGAAGAAAACCCAGACAAAACTACTTCAACAGACGTGTTGCCCATCAGATAAATAAGGGCACAGCCAGCCATCACATGTTTCAGTGAGTCACATTAATAGTTCACAGTCTTACATTAACTGACATTATTGCTTTTATTATTTATGAAACCCCTTTCAAGATGGTGAAATATCACAAAGTTTGTCAAGTTACTGAATGTTGCATCACTGAGCTGACAAACAACTGGTTCACAGAGATAACACTCATATTGCCTGGAAAACTTTTAATAATTTATCAGGGTGACAAATGCTGCTTAAAACTGTAGTCAGCTTCATATATAAACAAGCTTTTAAATATGTGGTATTATAGACTTTTGAATAGACTTTCCTAAACCTTTGTCAGAAAGCATATTTCTATTGTGAGGTGAGTCACTGCCAAATCAAGAAAACAAATACTAAGTGACAAAGAGGTGAGAAAATGAAGCTTGGCACCTCACATTCACCCCCTCAGTTTGACACAATGTGGGTTAATCACCTCGTCACCCTGAGGGAAGAGGACAGAATACAAAGACAACGGCAGTGACAGTGTTTGATTTTTTCAACATGCAGACCTTGTAGAGCTAATGATGATCCAGAATGCCCAGATGCACCAGGTCATCATGAACAACATGACCATGTCAGCTCTCGGGTCATCCAGATCCCCAGGCCCTCCGCCCAGCCCTGGCGGGTACCAGACCAGGGTAAGGGTCAGTTCAGTTAATAAATTTAAGTCCGAGTTGATGAAAATGGATTTGGATTTTAAATAGAAAATGAGTTTGAGTGTATCACCCTTATCTTGATATGATTAAATATAGAAAAAGATTAATTTACTTAGCTTCACTCAAAAATAAAATTCTTTCACTCCACATTCACATACACTCCCTGATTTTATTATAGAGACTCAACCCTCACTTCCAGCCTATTCCTCCCAATGTTTTAAACAAAGCACCAGCTGGCTGGTAAAACAGTTTAATCTATTTTCATTTCATTCCAGAACTTTGTAAAGAATTCCCCAAATCCAGAATCCACCTTGTTGTTTTAGTCTCACAAGACTAAAACTCCACAAGTGATCTTGATCTTGCACTGAGAGATGAAGCTGAACTGTTTTTCTCCTTCACTGTGTCAGGCTCCCAGAGATCTGGTTATAATTCAGGACACTGAGGCTGACCCAGAGATATACCACCACTATTACCAGTCTGCCCCATACCTGTCCTGTCCTTCATGGCTCCTGCCCTCACTGGTCTACCAAGAAGACCCCAACAAACCCACTTCTGCTCCACCACACAGAGACAGGTGATCAGAGCTCCCACATGTCCATTACATCTAATATGACAACTCATTACTGCTGGTGCAGAGAATTAACTGTCAGAGCAAATGAAAAGTCAAAGGCACATTCACCACTCTGAAACAGAATGGATAATCCTGAAAAGAAATCAGATTTATTTAGGAGGCAGTGTGTATTGAATCATCACCTGCTGGCAGCCTGGGACGATTTCAGACAACGCAAATCCTTGGGATTTCACTTAAAGGGAAAAGGACGTTTTATGCACCTAGGCTCCATTGCGTGAAGCAGATTCAACCAGTGTATTCTTCCATGAAATTCACTTTTAAATAGCTCAAACTTACTCACGCTTCGGTAACAATAATGCGTGTTAAATACTGCAAGTGTGACAGGACCTTACTTTAAGTGAATCCGTGTGTGAATCAAATCTGTTAACCAATGTTGCTATCGCTAACTGGCTTACTGCCAGCACTACTGTGTAGCATATCAGAGCAGTGCTAGCGTGGGCTCAGGGTTGTGGCAGTATTGATTGTTCATAATGACGCTGTAGTGAGATGTGGAAAACTGACTCTATTGACTTGGTATTTCTTTAGAAGAGTTGACGCTTTTTGAATGGGAGTTTATAGGAGCCAGAGGTTTTTTGGAGCGGCCGTCAGTGGCATTGCACTTTAAGGCAATTCGCATTTGCTTCACTTTTTATACGCAGCGTCTACATCCATTTTTATATACAGTCTGTTTCTCACACTTTACATTTCTTCTCTGCTAAAGAGAAAAACTATTCAAAACTGTTCAAAATCTCGACAGCAGGCTTAGAAATATTATCTATCAGCCATTTTTTATGAATAAATATTTTACGTAAGATACTAAATTGTGTTTTAGATTTTATATCATTGCACTTTTTTTATCATTGGGTTTTGGGCTTTTTATCATTGCTTATTCAAACCAGGACGATAAAAACATCCAGCAGACACTGATGAATATTTTTGAATGTTGTGTGAGCAGCCCTGCTGTCCCTCCTCCTCCCCCACCCGGTGCCACCACTGCGACTGTGGAAGTCAACGTCACTCCTGCAACAGGTGAAGCCAACCACACGGCAGCACTCAGCCAACAGCCAATTAACATGGTCTGCCCCTGTGATGTCAAAGGGGTCTCTGAAGTGGGGTGCCAAGAGAGGTCTCGACAGGAAGCATCATTATAATTATGATGGAAAGGGTACTGCAAGTGATTATGGTGCTGTTGATTGTTGATTGGTTGAAGAGATTGGTTCGTCAGATGCTTTAGATTTGTGTCATAATTTATCTTTTGTTTCTTTCATAGAGAACAACTGATGAGACAGAAGCAAGAGAAGAAGAGAGAGTGATTATTATTATTATTACTCACCACATATGTTTTAATGGGCAACAGTAGGAAGGAAAAACTATCTGGAGTTTATCAATCTTCCCTCAAATGTCCTGATCTCACTCTTATGTTTGTCATTTTTCTCTCTTATTATAATTCAATTTCTTTTAAGTTACTTTACAATGGCTGGAATAGGCAAAGATCTATGATATTGTGCAATGTTAAAGGCATTTTATACCTTTATTTTGTTTAACATACATTACTCAAATTGTCCAGTAGGGAGCAGCAACAGACGTTAATTGGCAAATAGACCACAGGCTGTATTGACAAGCTGTATTGACAGTGACTGCATGCTATAGTGCTGATGAAGGCCATAACATACCACTGTGGGCAACAAGTGGAACACCATGTAAGATCTATTTTTGTGTAACACTGTATGACCTTGTCTTTAAATACACTGTGATGAGTACTTAGAAGGATGAGAGGAAGCGCGCTACTCAGTCCCTTCAGGTGATGACAATAAAAGCAAAAAAAGTGCATGAAAATAGTGCAATTCAAGAATTACATGGAATGTTTTGGACATGCCATAAGCAAGAAAAACATGGTGAGGCGTTTGAGTGCTTTTTCTCATTGGTTCAAACTCAAGTAAAGGGAAAGGTGTTGAGATAATGTACAACTGTTTGACCCAATTCTCAAGGTTTGTATTTACTTGCTTGCAATAGCAGATAGCAAATGGGACAACACAGTGAGCAGGATGCAGCTGAGACAGCTGAGACCATAGGAAAGAATTTCAATGTCAGTTTAGTAGATTTGTCTGTGGCCACACAAGCCCTCAAAATTCCGACATTCCTTGGCATCCACTGAAAATAGTATCGGGGGTTTGGAGATTTAATTGGAGTTTTAAAAGTGGATTGGACTGTGACAGTGCTGGGTGGGGCGAACAGGATTTCAGCAGCAGTGTGGGAGGGTAATTTTAAAGATAGGGAGTGAAGGCAGCACACCCAAATCTCTGATAAAACACTAGGATTAAGAGCTCAAATGAGAGGAACGTGCCGATACGGCTGTCTCTCCACTGTCTCCTGGGCAATGCCATTGTTTACTCAGCTATTAATATCAAACCACCACACGCTGCCTATCACAGGGAGACGAGTGAGAGCGACGAGAGGCACAGCAGGTCAGAAGGGGCTAAAGACACAAATATTCCTCTGAAGAGGAATGAGTCTTCATTAGAGAAGGGCAGCTAATGGCAGCAGTAATAATTGATAAGTTAGACTGAGTAAATTGTAGATTTAGAGAGCGAAAGAAGAGGAGGTGATGCAGTGCATCCATTACAGCTCTGCACACTAACACAGTGGGGAACAGTGCGTTCCGTGTTGAGAACAAACACGGGAGGTGGGACATGAAAGATAAATGAGGGATGTAAAGTGGTGATGTGGGGTTTGTTCCGAGGGTGGAGGACACTGTGACAGTATGTAGGTAACCAGATTATGGGAGACAGATACCCAGCTATTTATATCAGCTTGTCTGGCAGGTTTCTGTCATTGTGTTCCCTCATAAAATTCATCATTTTCCATATTGATATATTTCTTTCATACGTTCTAATCCTTTTACTCATATTGTTGTATTCATATACATTTAAATTTACTATCATATCATATCATATCACATCATATCATATCATATCATATCATTCTCTATGTTTTAACCCCTGATTGCTGTATTGACTTTATCCCCATTTCTCTTTGTTGCATCCCATTTTCTTCTGCCTAACCTGTTATCCTCAGGGATCATGAGGTTTTTGTCTTTACTTTTCCACTTTAACATAAAATATAATAAGTGTGTTCATGTTGCATCTTGGACAGACAACATAACGACCAACAGGTGTCGAGCAACATAGCTTTTATTTGTAAAAATAATAAATATCTAGGACAAATATTTCAACATCATTGCACACATTTCAAATTCATTTACACCACTGGGTATTCTCAGCTACTACAGTGTCTGTTCCTCTACCATATATAGGTATGAACTGCCACTCAGCTATCAAGGTAGATCAGCTAGTACACAGTAAAGAACAGGTCATTAGTTTTCCTAAGTCCTCTTGATTGGAGGTGTCAGCAGGCACATGCACACACACACACACGCACACACACATATGTACAGCCGCAGTGTGTGATCACGCCGGAGCATTCTGTACTCTTCACAGAGATCAGAGACTGTCAAGGGCTTCTGGAGGCCTGGATGCTGACCAAGGCATGTTCCCCGAGCGCTCACCCCCTCCTCTTCCCCTTCCCCTCTGACTCTCCCTCCCTCTTCCTATCTCTTTTTACAGTCTGCTACCTGCCTCTGCCTTTGCCATGTCATTTTCCATCTGTCACTTTCTACATCACTGCACGCCTCCACCGCCTCTCACAGGTATAATCCATGAGTCAGACGACCACGAGAACACTTCCATTTACCTCATGAGGATATTTACACATTGCGATACAAAAGAAGGTCGAAAGGAAGTGCATGCAGCATGGTTAAGGTGCACCGGTGCGTGCAACCGTTGGGTCACAGTGATTCCACTGAAGAGATCAGCAGATACGATGAGCCCAGCCGGCCAGCGCGGGCAGAGATTAGCCCGTGGCACAGCTGAGAACTCGCACCCTGACTACCCATGACAATGCCAATGCCTTCACACAACCATTTCTAATACTGCTGACCACCAAATGCCAACAATGACAAAGCGTGACATTTACCTGGTGCTGTGCTCGCCAAGAAACACAGACAGTGCTAAAAATCTACAGTATGTAGGGTTTATGACGAATGTCGCTAGAGATTAATCTATATACATCTTGTCATGCTCCCTCCTGACACGCTCTGCTCAATGACTATCCTTCTCCATCTGTCATCCTTCTCTTCTCTCCCTAACATCCACTCTTTCTCTTTTTGTCCTTTTGTTCTTCACCCTCTCTGAGCCTCCAGGGACATGGAGCGACCCAGGGCTTTGGGTGCTTTGGCGAACTCCATGAGGGTCGGCTTGACAGGGGGGAGATCTCTTGTGATCTCGTCCACGGTCCTCTTGCTGGGACAGGCTCCGTCTGGGTTGGGGTAGGGCTGCAGGTCCTCCTCGGTGTGTGGGGCTCCGCGTCCGAGCCTGACACCCAGCTCTGCAGGGGTGAAGATGGGCAAGGGGAGGGTGTTTCTCTTCGGCAGCAGCTGGTGCTCCCTGACCCCTCTTTCCACAGTGCCCACTCTGAAGACGCCAGAGGGGCAGGCCTGTATCAGTGAACGGGCCTGCCACTGCCGGGACAGAGTCTCCCTGCGAGAGTCGTCATTCATGTCCATCGTCTGCCTGCAGCAAACAGAGAAGAGTTGAAATTAGAACAGTGGGAGCACTCACTGTGATTCACGTTTTCAATTAGACTGTTATTGTCTTGCAATATGAGAATAGGTCTATCAAGAACTTGCCAAGTAAATGAGCAAGTAGATCTCAGTCCATATCTTATGATGGTAATGAAGGTTTGAAATCACAGCTCTCACCTGTCCTGAGGTTGAGTTTTGAGACTGACACTGTGCCAGTCAGCGCTGTAGCTCTCCCTCTGAGATTTGTTCTCCTCCCGTACGCTGCAGGTGAGCTCAGCTCCCACCACCGCGCCGTTACGCTTCTCCAGGACGGTGCAGATTGGCATCTTCTCTGCTGTGTGAAGGCCTGTCTCAGATTTATCGTTCTTGGTGATCACTCCCAAGGTCTGGTCTTGCAGCTGGGATGTTTGTCCGAGGAAAAACAGTGATGCTTCAGCTGGCTGTGTCACCTGGCTTCCCTCTCTGCGCTGTCTATGCCTGGGCTCGGGTCTGTCCACGTCTTTTATAGATGTTCTGTTGCTATTTCTGAAACATGTTGTCACTCTACAATCAGTGCGCGATGACATCCGACACCAAGTGTTCCATGTCTCATTCCCTGAGAGCTGGAAGCCTCTCTGAGGAGGGGTTAAGGGTAATTGGGCTGAAAATCCTCTGATTCTCAAATTGTATGCACTGTCCCCTCTGTAATCACTCAGCACCAATATTTTCCACTTCAGCTGTGATCGCAGTGTCTTAGAGGGGCCAGTATCATAGAGACACTCTGTATGGCGATTATATAAGTATGTGGACAGACACACACAACAGGTTTAGTCTTTGGAGAGGAATCTTAATCAGGTTTTGGTCTTGATGTACATAAAGCAGCGAGTGACGCCTCCCTAATGTGGAAATATAGCAGTGATGCAGCTGTTTTTCACCCACAGAGAATCTTTCAGGCCTATAGGTCAAATATGCATGGATGAGGAATGACAGCTCTGTCACTTGGAGATAAAAGGTGAAAAGCCAGAGATCTTCACGGACTGGCTTCATCACGTCCCACTGACTTTTTATTCATAACACAGGATATAATATAAGGAGTTTATACAACAGCTGCGCTTTCTGACAACATCTACACCCCTCATTAGATGCCATTACAGTGCGCTGCCTCTCAGCAGCGGCGAGAGCTCCATCCCTGGTGATTCATTACCACGGTGACAGAGCACCGCGCAAGCCGTAATCAGCTCAGGTTACAGACTGAAGTACACACACACACCCATGCGCACATGTACACAAGCATTCAACTCTGACAGTTGTCTGCTGGTGTGATGTTACTACCAGTCCCTGTCTCTGACTCATTCATCCACATCAGGTACCGGTATCATCGGATAGCATGTATCAGATGTATCGGGAACCACAAGTGTGATGTCCACAGTGACAAGAAGCTGATCACTCACACTGTCTTTAAATGTGTTTTACATTCGTGGCACGTGGAGTAATGACTAAATTGTGCAATGTGCTAAATCTGTACCAGATGATGACATTAAATCATAACTGAAATTGTTTTATATTATATTGTCATTCATCATCTGTTTTTACACCAGCCTCCACAGGAGTTCTAGTTGTTGACAGATACATTAACAAACACTTGTATCTGCATACGATGACATTTCTAAATCCTTTAATAAATGTTACATTGCTTATGAATGGTAAATCAGGGGGATTAAAGCAAAGTGTTCCTTTCCATGCAATTAAGTGCTACTGTCCTTCTGCTTGTTGAGTGCAACAACATTTCAATTTCTTCTCTGCAATTTCTCAGGAGAGCGCTATTGCATATGTCAAATATTGCCCAGTGTCAGAGAGAGAAAAGAGTAAGAGCACCATAGGCATCACTGGGGTCACGCGTTCAGTCATGTTATGACACCATGGCGACCATGAAATGCCAATTCAGAAACCTAATAAGTCACTATGCAAGGTCTTTCACCATTGAGATCATATCTTTTTAGAATCAACTTGACACTGAGCAATCAGGTTTTGAACTAGTGCACAGACTGATGCCTTTGATCTGCTTTTATTATAATGTGGGTGTTCACCTGCTCCAGCGGCAGGGGGGGAAATGAGATGGCTCTCTTAACTGTTGTTGCGTGAGTCATGCAATGCTAATGAAGCCAGGGATGCGGAGGGTCTGTAAAGGTGAACAGTGATGAGATGAGCCCTGTCACAGTGATCACCCCCTCGCTTCGTCCTCATCCCTGAACCCCCCGCGCCAGACCAGGCCAGACCAGGCCAGGCCCTGCCAGGAAGAACTTTGTGTTGCATAACAACACTGCTGCAGCTGCCGGGAAGTGACATTTAAATGAGCGGTCACAGAGAAAGAGATGTGGAGTGGGAGGGAGAGAGGGAGAGAGAGAGGGAGGGAGGAGAGGGGCCACTGCAGGATAACGCTCAGGCCTGTCAGGAGATGGTAAATAAAGCAAAATATTGTGAGTGCAAGTTTGTTAGATGTAACTTTGGTTTTTTTTTTTCGTTTTTTTTTTGTTTTTTTTGTGACAGATGAGTGAATTTGGGAGGACAGAGAGGAGCCTCCTACACAGGTCAAGCTGACACAAAGTACTTGCTTAGCAGCAAGAAGAATCTGAGGGAAAGTTAACTTCCATTGACTCATGTATGGACACTAGCTTAAAATCTGCAGTTTGACTCTACACTCAAGAAAGTGCAGCGTGGTTTCTGTGAACACATTTTTGGGTTGATTATGCTGGGTCAAAGGGGTTCATTCATTTTACTGTCTGAAAAAATCGACAGTAATATTAGCTGCTAACTCTGGCCATAACAAATGTAATATTGTTATTTAGAGAAATAGTGACAGTAACATTAACTGTCAGCTTTGCCCTCTAAAACGTTAGCAGTGAGGTAAACAGAAAAAAATGACAATATAATGAATAATTGAAGTGGATGTAACACAATAAAATGTCGGTAGCTAACTTTAGATGCTAAGTTATTAATTATAATATCTAGTTAAAATGTATTCCAGTTAAAAGTATTTTCAGTATCATTAAATGCTAACTTTTCCCATCCACAAATGTAATATTTACAAGAAATTAAATGTTAGCTGTTAATTTGGTGATCAACAATCTAATATTAAGATGTTTAAATTGTAAAGTTACACTACACTGCAATTTTTTTGGCAATTAAACAATTCTGTTAAAATGATAACATTAGCAATAATCCAATGTGAAGGGGAAATGAAAACATAAAAGTGACAGTAACAGTAGCTGCTAAGGCTGGCCGTCACAAATGTAATATTCATATGAATTAAAAGGCTTAGTTAGCCTACCTGCCAGTCTTGCCTACGACAAAGGGAGAAAGGTAAAATGAAAAAAAGCAACAACAAATTATTCTCAAGTGAAAGAAAAACAAGAAAATATCAATAACCTTAGCTGCTCAATTGCCCATTAACTATAATAACTAATTAAAACCTGATATTTAAAAAAAAAGAAGAGAAAAATGTTACATTAGCTGCTAAGTTCAGCCATTAAACATACTTTTCCATACTTTTTGACACGTGCATAAAATAAACTTGAAAAACTCAAATGCAGTTATGTTGCAAAACTAAGTGACTGCAGGTGGGGACCAACATGAATGAGTATTACCAAAATGCAGAGACCAGTCAACTGTCCCCACACATCTTGTGCCTTGAGGATGAGATGACAACATGCCAGGCCTTCACCATTATTATCTCAGCACACGCCATCGAGACACACTCTTCGCTGGTGGCTGCAGACATTTGTTTCAAGGCTTCCTTCAACATTTTGACATCAATTACACCCGGCGGTGTTTCTCCAGCATACAGTGTATCATATACTATGTACATTTGTATTTACACGATTACTCATTATGGGAGAAAAATTTTTACATTCAGTGGCCTCTTTTTGTATAGTTTGTGTCTGCATGATTATAAGAGATTATGAGTACACAACAATTATAAGTGTTATAATATACCATTGTTGTTTTTGTTATTATTACTAAATATAAGAGTATTAAGGTAATGAGACAGAAAAATAACCCACCATGTGGGTAACAGAGTCAGTTTCACTCACCAGGTTGGGTCAAATGAACAACCCATCCTTCTGGTTTAAATGGTAAAACCCAGCACGTGTTGTGTCCCACAGCGGTGGAGTTAAGGTTGTGTTATCTTCTAACCCAGCAGTTTTTTTTTTTAAGTGTAGTGTTTCATTCTAGCACCACAGAGTGGCACTGGTATTGTGTCTGTGTGCCAGTGCGCCGGCAGGCTGGTGCCGTGCTCAAAGCATGTGCCTCACAAGAGTGTCTCTCTTACATAACAACGACAACAACAACAACAACGTCCAGCTGACCACCAAACACCATCATCACCTCTTGCAAGCCAACGTCTGGTCCGGTCCCAACGGGATGGTCAGATGCAGGACAGCCTGCACCAGGCCAGGATTTGAGTAATGTCTGTGGATCGGGGCGTAAGCCAGCCATGGGTACACAGGCGGCAGGCCACGTGAGGGCCCGGGACACTTGTATCCCACTTCACAGGAATGTTGCTCTTGTGCCACAGTTTCCGTAGAAACACTACCACGTACTCACTCGACTTCCATGCAGCAAATTCTTTCTTTTAGTTTATTTTGAGATGCAAATTCTTCTGTTATTCTTTGTCATCTGTGGAATTGTGGAAACTCATATTACTTCACACGAGGCAGTTCAAAGGAAGACATCATACCAACATGTGACACTGTACACATATCAGGCTTTGGGCTGCAACTTTATTTAATCATGAACTGCACACCATAACACATACACAAACTGCCACAAGTTCAGAAATCTTTCACATTTTCAGCAAGTTGCTGGAGGGCAAAAAAACCACACCCTCACATCACCTGGAAGTCACACACACAGTCATTTTAAAGGTTCAACATACAGCACTTTACTACATTGTGTTTCCATCTGCTAGTTTCCAAAATGTTTGAAGCCAACACTGCAGACTTTAGTCAGTTAAAAGTATTACTAATACTGGGCTATTTTTTCAGTGTTGTTACCAATCATGTGATTGGAGGAAATGAGTGCTGATAATCATAGGACAAAATATAAAGAGGGTCTGCTCAAAGGAACATCGCTACCCTGAAGCTTCACAACAGCTGAACAATAAACAGGCTAGGAACTTGATAAAACAGAAAACACGCACACACATACACATACACGCACACACATATACACACACACACACACACACACACACACACACACACACACACACATACAGTTAACACCTTGGTAATATTCACCTGAAAATCTGCTAAACCCTTTTAGATTTTGACCAGAGAACACAGACTAAGACTCAAGCTGTGCAGTTTGGGGGAGAAAGGAGAAATTCTTCAGCCTAAAACTTCCAAGAAGCCGCAGCGACACTGTACGAGGCAACAGACACTTGAAGAGAGGAGCTACGCAATTCACATCCAGGTCTAAAGGGTTGATGACTACTGCCCCCTGCCTTGTGTCTGTTATTATTACAGCCAGAAGATCTTAAGACCTGTCACTCAAGTTTCCATCTTCTCTTTCGCTCTCGTCCTCTTCTTCTTCGTCGCCTCCCCCATTCATGGCCTCCACCCTGGCCAGCAGCAGCGGCAGGCTGAAGTTGAGGCCTGAGGGCATCTCCTCGTCAGAATCATCCCTCGGCGGATAGAAACGCTTTGCCTTTGCTAAAAAATCTTCAGCTATATCAAGATACAGGAGGCGATCCTGTGAAGAGGGAGAAGAAACCTGTGACTGTGAGGAATGTTTACTATCTTTTAAACATGTTAGGAAAGAACGGCCGTGCCTTCATGATGTAGCAAACCTTCCGTTCTACATACCCACCCTAAATTTAGTCAGGCAAAAAGCCATATCCAGTTCTAAAAGGAGTGTGGTCGTGTACTTTTAGCTTGTGTGAAAATCTCAAAAGATGAGTACAGATTTGTGTAGCAGAACTTTGTGTTTTCTTCTTTAGTACCCCATTACCCATCCTGTGACCCTCAGGAGGGGCCCAACCCCCGGTTTGGGAAACATTATACAAAACAACCATAAAATAAAGTATAAACTGCAGCGTCAACTCAAAAATTTTATAATAAAATATATAATATATAAATATACATGTTACAGCAGAACCAGTACAGTATGACCTTCGATAATTTATAGTACATTTTGCTGGTAAAATTCTTGTACTTTTACTTGAGTAGGATTTTAATTGTAGGAATTATATAGTATTTATATAGTTTGTATACTGATACTTTTACTGAAGTGAAAATTCTGAGTACTTCTTCCACTGCTGTTCAGTAGGCTGGATCTGTGCCTCCTCTAAAGAGGATCCACCATAGGTTCATCCTGAGTTCATGGCCCTTACCTCATAGTTAAGACAAAGATACTGCTGTGACCCCAACATTCAGGCACATGAATGACTTATTTAGAAATCAGATTTGCAGTGGGACAACCTTGTCAAGTTTTTATGACATATTTGGTCTTGAAGGGGGCAGCCTCTCAAATAGTTTATCACTGCTTATCTACTTCATAGGGGTTTGAGGAAAGTACCCCTCGCTGTGGCCTGGAGCACAGGGATGGACAAACCACGACATATTGGGTCATGTTAGCATGTCTAGCATGAGTGAATATGTCTCACAACCACCCAAGGGTGTTTTTTTTTTTTTTTCTTTCTTTCTTTCTTTTACACCCCAAGCTCCAAGTCACAGCAGGGACACTCTCACAGCGATACCTAAAGGTTCAAAGTTCTCTGCAGGTCTCTGCTCTCACCAGGATGAACAGATATCTCTCTGGAGGCGGTTCTCTGCTGCTGAAGATGGAGGTCTCAGAGTGGAGCGTGTGAAGAAGGGCACGTGCTGCTGGGGCGTTACGCATGCGGTCATGTGAGGCACCGGCAGACACTGTCAGCAGCGAGTCTGCCTCCGCCATGAAACCTAGGAAAGAAGGCAAACCCTTTCTGGTACTCTCTGTCTCATCTGGTACTCTCTATCCCCCCCTCATCTGTCCAGCCTTACCTAGGTTCTCCAGAACCGTCTTCCATTTGTCTCTGACTTCTCGGCGGGTGTCTCTCATGGCCTCAATGTCCACACTCAGACGGCGATAACCCTCAACAAGGAAAGGACAAAGGTTTTAAGAACCATGTTCCTTCAGCTTTGCATCATTTCTCATCTACCCTCTTGTAATTGAATCATTTGAGCACTGTCCTGCTGAGTCACAGCTGCTTTGAATAACTGATCACAATAATTTCACAAAGCTTATGATGACTCTTTTCCACCGCTGTGTAGGTTGTTATTGGTTTCTTTTTTTAGCCTCAGATTAATATGATTGAATGAAGCATCTGGGAAACTCCCCCTCACATACCGTGGATCCCATGCGGGTCTTGTTCCTGGCCTGCAGCAGGGTGTAAAGGGTCCGGTCATCAGCTCTCTCTGAGTGGCTGGGGTCTCCTGGTTCACTCCACAGGTTGGTCTCCTCGTCACGACGCTTCTGGACTTCACGGTTAAAATACTCCAATGGATCTTGACTGTGTAGTCAGCCAACACACACATGCACCCAGAAACACACTCATTCATACAATGACTATTCATATATAATGAATCAAATGCAACACGCGCACGAGGAAGCACATTGCCTTGACACTAATAATAATAATACTGAAATGCGGTGTCTCTTACGGTACTAATGGCTGCTTCTCATCCTCATCATCTTCGTCACCGGCGCAGCAGCAGCAGCAGAACTGCATGCAGAACTTCTTAAAGGCTGAACCCATCTATTAAGAAAAGAGTCACCGTGCAGCAGGTGTTCACAATGTCAGGTAATCCAGAGGGAAGTGGTGTTTCACTCGGGTCTTGGTTCTTCAAGCAACAGTGAAGGAGATGCCAGTGGTGAGTCTGGCCTGATATATATGCACTCAGCTGGCTTGCTTTAGCTCCACAATGCCGCTGTCCCTGAAGGTGATCTGAAGAAATGCTGCTCTGAAGAGATTTCTTACAAAGGGGACCTTATTCACAGCCTATATTTAAAAAAAAAAACAACAAAAAAAAAAAAAGATTTGGCAAAGTAAGAAAAGGTAGCTGTCACAACATGCATGTGGTCCACTAACTTCTGGGAAAAATGAACAGAAAGAACAAAATGTCAAAAAAAAGTTACAAAGGTCACTGATCCCCCCAAACTCTACCTAATCTTCAGCTTCCCATTTTCCAGGACCCCACCGCGGCTCCTCGTCCAGTAGAGGTTTGTCCTCCAGATCATTACCCTGTCTGGGTAGAGAGGCTCAGGCATATGGCAGCCCCAAGGACTGGTGCTTCTCATCAGCCTTACATGAAGGACAATGAGAGCAGTGAGACGCTCACTCTCTGATCGATTCTAAAACAGACATATTCACACACCCATAGCCTCAGAAGACAGTCACAGCACAATCATGTGAGCTGCTCCATCTCTCGTCCTTAGCATTGTGTTTTGCCCCGAGGACAACACATCTCTTCTTCAACAGTGGCTTGAATTACACACTTTATCCAATCCACCGTGGCTGTATTGATTTAAAGATTGTTTAATTTCATAGTATGTGGTAATTGAAATTATTTAGCTGTAAATCTGTGTAAAAGTGGTCAAATAAGAATCTTTTTTTCTTCATGGATTGCTTTGAATTTCTGACTAGTTCGAATGGCTTCATGTTGTTTTAATGTTCATGTTTCATGAAGTCTGAATGCTGAAGTCTGAGGCGTGGAGGGTGACTCGACCTCCAGAAGCCAGCCTAATTCTAGAGAGTTCAGTTTTGCAACGGTAAGTCACACACGTGACATGAGCTCAAGTCACAAGGTACCATTGTTTATGACAAACACCCCTGGGATCTGATGCTGAAAAGTATGCGGCTAGAAGCTACTGTGACTCAGTGTTACCTTGTCACAAAATCTGTATCATTAATTCGATTACTGATCTGATGTTACCAGCATCTACAGTACAAAATAAATACAGCAAGAGGCTTCCAGTAATGAACAGGTTGTATCATATATTTTATTAGACATAAGACACTAGTTAAGACTCAGTAAAAACTGTTGGTCAGTTGTGATGATTTTAAATTAACATGTTTGATGAATCTATAGACAAATACATTCAAAAACTATAATAAAGGAAAACACTAACTCAAGTTGTCTAAGCAGGGTTCATGTGTATACAGTATACCTTTGGTGAAAGGTATGAAGCATTGACTTGACAGAGTAAAATAAATGCAAAGCAAAAGAAAAGGCCGACATGTAATGTTACTGTGATAAAGGCACCAAATTGTTGATATCATTGATTACTTTCATTTGACATTCCTTCTGTACAGTAAGTAGCTAATAAAAAAAGAAAAGAAAAAGATTCTGTTGACAAAGCACCCAGCCAGTTCTCAATAAGCACATATTCTGGACTTCATGAAGAGGAATCCTTTCAGAGTTCCACAAATGACAAATTAAAATGCCTCGAAGCCGTAGTAGCCATGTTTTGAGTGTGATGTGGTCATTCACAGCATCAGTTACAGCCATAAATATGCTCCATAGAAATATTGACTGAGTGTCTTCATGCCGTATTTCTCAAGATTAAAAAGCAGAATAATTTGCTCTCTTTGGTTCGACTCCACATAATTTGAACAGGATTTCAGACATTTTTCTGAGGTTCGTCATAACACTGAGGTGCAGAAAACTTAATAAGCTGGAGGTGATATCATTAAAAGATTAAACACATAATATAATGCTTCATATGTAAGAAATGACAGAAAACCCTCATTCAGCACCGCATCTCAAGCCTGAGGGGAGCCCAGTACTAATGTCATATCAGTACAGTAGTAACTTTTTTTTTGTTTTTTTTGTTTTTTTTTTACCACAAGGCCACTTGAGGTTAATGGCACAAACGACAACATTAGTAAGTGCACAGCATCCAGCATCCTAATTTATGAGCAGTTCCATCATCTTGGTTTTTTCTTTTTTAACTGAGCTTGCTAATGCCTCTGCAACACAAACTAACACTAACCTGATTTGATACTTGGTTTGACCTCCTGCCTGATTTCAAAGAGCAAAACAGACGCAGTGTTAAAAAACCTTCTGTAATAGCAGATAACTAATAATGTTAGCTGATAAGATTTTTGCACCCTGATACAGGAGATGAGGTCAAACTGAGAGCCTTTCGCTGGGTGGATCAGTGGTGTCTCCCTCTAGTGGCACTTTAACAGCGAGTGACTTCTTTCCCCTTCTATCACAGTGTAGTTAGGGAAAATAAAGTTCGTGGAAAACAGCTTTTACCCATTCAAATGACATGTTTCTTGAGGATATGGCTGTGAATTGTGAGTTTGTTTTAGGGCAGGTGCACCAGAGAAACATAATTAAGCCATTTCAGTGAAAACAGACAAAAAAAAAAAAGCAGCAAATCAATGGCTAACAACGTGTGCAGTAAGATAAGGCTCAGTCACGCTGTTGCGTCTGTTCTTTTGTAAAAAGTAAAATAGATGCCCACACACTGAGGATCAATCCATCTTCATCTGAGTCTTCATGTTTGAGTAAAGTCCACCCTGCCATGAAATGCCTTCAGAAAGCAGGTCTCATTGCACGGTGAGAGACATGGCGAAATAATTACAGGTCCACCTCAAAAGTATGTTTGTGATCACACTTAAAATAAAAAATAACATTGATGAAGTCTAAGAATAAGGAGGAACATTGTCTTTGACAAGCACATTACTCCTCTTCTCATGTGCCTGAAATGTGCGATCACATGTCTCACATCTCCCATGCTCAGAAGTGCAGTCTTTTCTGTTACTGTAGTACATCCCTTCAGCTTAGCTGCATCACAAGGGTACAGCTACGCCCCTTTTTTTGGGGTTTAATATACTTATAAAAAAAAAAAAAAAAAAAAAAAAAAAAAAAAAAAAAAAAAAAAAACAGTAGTGATACCTCCAAACCAGCTGTGGCACAGTTTGATGTCTCTCCTGTTTTAAGTGAGGTGGTGGTGGGAGCGGTGAGAGGGCCGCAGGTCAGCGATACGTTGGCGTAAATGGGACATGAATTCAAACATGGTGGCGGCCAGACTCTGGTGGATGAGGTAGCGGGGCAGACGACCCTGATGAACCAAAAGAGTAAGTGTTGGTTGTTTTCTCCTCTCATATTATATTATAAATTTATTTTTTCATTTTTTCTTTGTCTCATCATTTCCTGTAATTCATATGCTCAGGCTTGTTATTTACATATTTCTGTTAATAGAGTCTAGTATAATTACAGACCAATCATGTTTAAAACCCCATATTTCTTCTATCCTCATTCTATTTTTCTGCTTCCCGTCACTATTTGCAGCTGTGACAACAATTTTCTAAATACAGACAGATTGTACAGGGTTCCCAAACATCCTGGAAAACATTTGACCAGTTTCCAGTCATGAAAAACATATGGAAAATGAGAGAAAAAGTAAAATGTCCCGGAAAATATTGCATGTTCTGGAAAATTATTTCAACAGTCTCTTATTTTCGGGCAAAGTTATTTTCAGGGTCATGTTGCTGTTCAAATGGTTGGCTAGTTTATGGACAACAGAACTTTTGAATAGGCTGCTATCTGTTTTGTTTGGCAATGCTGTGAACACATCACATGCTGCAGGCTGGATGGTTTACAACTGAAGTGGCCAAAAATTTAAGTTGCTTTATTCTTTAAATATATGCAAGTTACAGTTGGTTGCTAACTGTGGTAGTTTTTATTAGGTTTATTGATGAATGTATTCTTCCCAACTTGTTTGAAACTGTTGAATAATGGATTAGCATGTTTGCTTCAGCTGCTTGCTAGCTTGTTTTACCTGTAGTTAAAGGTTTATGGTTTGTGATTCAACTCTGGCAGAGCAAAGGTTTCTAATGTGTGTTGCCTCATTGCTGAGAGCTGTATAATAATAAATGGGAAAATGGGGTCAATACAATGAATGGTAGCCCAACTGTATGTTAGTCCAACACTGGCTAAATACTCGTTAACGACAGTTTACTTTGCTAGCATCTTTGTTAGTGTCACTTTAAACCCAGGTAAAACAGACTATAATATGACATGAAATGTTTAACTTCTGTAGAAGTAGCTCACAGTGGGTGTGAATAACCACAATAAAAATCTCACTTCCTGTTGCTAGGAAAGGAGCTAAAGTCTGATCAACTTAGACCCAGCAGCAGTTAATTCAACTTTGAGTCGTACATTTAGCTGTAAAGTTCAGTCTAGATTTGTCAGTAGGGGAAATTATCGGCTATTATTTTTGTTATTGGTGTTCAGGCAGCAATGGTTAATATAATTTATAAGAAAAAGTGAGTCAGGTTATAAATTATTAATGATGATGATAATGATAAATTTTATTAACAAAGTTGTTGCGATCAATTTGTGATAATTTCACAATTAAGCATGTAAGAGACTTAGCCATGTATAGACTGTACTTATTTTAAAATCAGACTTCCACAGATAGGAACATATTGGTGTAAGACGTGATTCCTGTCCGTCATATGAACTACATCATCACAGTAAATGTCCCGGAGAATGAGGGAACCCTGTTTTACTAATCTTAAAAGGGACAGACTTTCCCTTCTTGTCTCAGACATCAAAGAAACGCTAGAGTAATTGCAGCGTGTTTGTTTTCACCTTCAAGTCTGTGTTGAGGATCCAGATGAAAGTGCAGACGGACGGGTTACTGCAGGACTTGAGGACCACAAATCCTCCTGGACCATTCTCTCCCCTGAGGCCGGCAACAGAAGCAGAAGAGAAGACAGAGAAGTTAAAGAAATTAAACTAACACAACTGAACTTTTATTAAATCGATATAATCTTCTAATTTACTGGATCAGTGACAAGGAGCCCGACTACAGGCGTGTTCTGACCTGACATAGCGACCACTCGAGGGTTTGGCGTCATGTTCAGTTGCCATGCCAGCAGACAGGTAGCAGTCTCGTTTGCGCTCCACCCGTCGGACATTAACAAAGTCCCTGAAGGAAGAAAAATCAATCGGACAATCAATGGACGCAGGAGACAGAAGATAGGAAGAAAAGATGTCAGATAGGAAAAAAGCCACATATTGAAGCCTGCTGATCTACCTCGCAGACACAACTCCCCCTGCTGCTCCAGCAGAGACGTCATATGATATGAGAGTGTTGTCGTCAACCCTCTGGAGGATCTGAAGAGAAGGCAGGAGGCACTGTTAGACTTTGGCACAGCAATGAAAAAATGTTCAAAAGGACAGAAAGATGAATAAAAAAAAAAACAAAACATGTCCACGTCGTCACCTGGCAGGCAGAAATGGTTTTGTTCCACTGGACCATCTTCTCTGGTTGCAGAATTACCTCCTGATACACGAGCTCAGCCTGACACTGCATAAAGGCCTGAATAGAAACAATAACACACATCATCTCATCTAGCATCATTTCAGAATAGTGGTCAGACTAAAAAAAAGAAAGAAAGTAATGTTAAAAACATGGGGAAAAATATATGTGAACATCAATCCTAGTACTTGGTTGCAGCCTATTTTCTGGCCCTGGTTTTCTGGCACAGTCTTTTCTTTGTTGTTCACATGATCTCCAGAGGCTGAGGTCAGCGCCATGGATTTCACAAAACTAATTTTAGCCTCTGATAGCCATTTCAAAACCAGTTCTCATGTGTGTTTACGATCATTGTCCTGATGGAAAACTGCCTCATGTTATGTTTTCCTCCGCATCTTATGAAGGAGTCCTCTGTTCCGAGACAAACCAACAGCCTTGACTTGTATAATACTGCGATTTACTTGCTCAAACCACATCTTCATTACATCACTCTTAGTATAATGAGTGTGACTGGAGATTTATGTAGAAACAGAACATAAGACAAATTGCATTTAATTATATCCACCAACAGAAAGTTTAAAAAGGTGAAATCAGAGTTCACTCCCATTCTCAACCCTTTCAAACAATAAAATTAAAAGACCCCCTGTGGAGTTTTTCCACCAGTGGTAGCAGTATGGAGTCAAGTTTTAACACGTTGGGCCCAATTTTGTTTGTATCACGCATGTGCATGTCCATGTCCGTACAGGTGATACGATACACATCTCTGCTGTTGGTTTCATGTTTTTTTGTTGACCAAAGTTTGTGGTACTTTGCCAAGAAACATAACAATGCACCAACAGGGTGCAGAAAATAAATATTTTAAATATTTCAAGACATGTCTGTGCAATTGTCTTATTGTCTTACAGGAGAGAAATCCCTTGAGATACACACCATGCACTGATAAGAAAAACTGAGTGTAAATGTGATTGTTTGCTTACAAGAAAATTAATATTCTGTGCTACTGTAACCAGATATCTGATTAGAAGAGAAAAACAATGTTTTTTTAATTAGCATTAAAAATAGTTTAGTACAGCAGAAGCACAGCAGCTGCTTCACTTATTGTTATAGAAGGAACAAAACCAAGACTTAACAGATTCTACAATCAGAAAGGTAAGTCTGTCAGTCAGACTGATCAATAACATATCAACACATTTTAACACAGCAGACTTGTGTCTATGGCTAAAAAAAAAAAAAACCTGAGGTTGCTCTGGCTGTGACTTAGTTGTTTATCATTTACAGCAATAACTCATCAAGTTACAGCATCAAATTAAAACAGCCTTCAGTTACGGAGCGTCCTGTTCACAGCAGCTTCCTCTGAATTCCTCTATGAGAGATTACACATGTTAAAAGGAAGCCCTTTGTAACATGACTCCAGTTTCTCTGAAGCTGGTGTGACAGCACCAGATGTGTCTTTAATGACTGATTTAACACCCATTAGTCTCGGTTATTTTACCCTCTAGAGGTTCATATACAGCGCATCATCTGTAAAGTGAACTTAATTAAGTTATGGTGGAGTCTTATAAAGGATTAAAAGCTGCACTGACCTGATCTGCTCTTTAATGTGACAGAGTACAAGGCAAAATCAGATGTATACATAAAATGTCAGTGAGACAGAACATATTAAATCCTACATGTGTCTCTATATGGTAAATACAGTACAGTATTATGAGTCTAAACAAGATTCCTTTGGGTCACTACTGGTGTGTTGTGATGGTTTGGTTTCACAACGAATACACAGAGGGCGGCTGTACCTTGAGAATGAAAGTCTTTCCATGGAAGGGAATCTCCAGGGTGTAGACAGAGTCTCCCATGTCCTGACATGAGACAAAATACTGTTAGTATCATCATGCTTTTGCTTTCACTTCAAGGATAAAAACAACTCACTTCCTCAAAATACTGAATGATCTCTTGGGCCAAGTCAAGTTTATTTATATAGCACATTTCATACAACATAAAATCAATGTGCTACAAGATAAACTGGAGTGAACAATGTGGTGTGGCTAGAGTTAGGTTTCGATAGGTGTTTCCAATGGTTGCAGGTTGCTAACATATCTGGTTTGACTGAGTTCAGCATTAATCAGATAAATTCATGAATCCCTCCTTCTCTGCTTTTCTTATCAGCAAAGAACTGTGACCAAACCATTTTATTAACACGTTAGTACAGTGGTTCCCAACCTGCAGGTCACAAATGTATTGCAAGTGGGCCGACAAATCATTTAAAAAAAAAAAACAGTACAATTTTGGTGAGTAAATGTAATTATATAAATATTTAGAAATAATTTTTTAAAAATGTTTCAAAACAAAGTGATCTTTAAAAACATTAAAAATGTTTAAAAACTCGTTTCAGTGGTTTTAATTTCTCATTAAGGCCCATCACTGCGACAAACCAATGATAGGAATGTTTATGTTGTCGCCAGCCTACATGTTTCCCCTGCTTTCGGTTCAGTCCTGAATGTTTGATCGTTATCATTAAAATAAAAAGTGCTCTGAGAAGGCATTATTTGGCCTCCGTACTCTTATGGGGTCAGATGTGGGCCTCCAACATTTCTGAGATTTTAAAGTGAGCCATGAGTTGGAAAAAGTTGTGCTGTAGTAAATATGTGATACGTGGCTACGTCCACACTACTAGGTTTTAGTTTTAAAACTGGCGTACAGTGGAGTTTGCAAGCGCCTAAAACAGACTTATGGAAACGCTGCTGACCCTGTTTTAGATCGAAAGCTCTGGGGTTGGGTTGTCGTCTGGACCGACAAAAAAAGGTGACCTTCGGAAACGATGATGTAGACGCCCACAGTCGCTCCCTGATTAGGTCTCATCAGCCTCAACTACCAGTGGTGAATACTGATAAAGATATTTGAGAGTTAAATAAAATAATAATCTGAGAACTATATTTTCAACATAAACAACTAATATAATTTTTTTTTTCACAGAACTGTAACGAAGATAAATACTAAGCTGGACATTTTACAGTTGAAAAATGAACTTGGCCAATTAGTCAGTCCAATCAGTGCCGTCTCCAGATTCATTAAACTGCTATTATTCTTCCAACAGTGTAGCAAAACACAAAAAAATATTTTGGTGACTTTAAATATTCCGGAGTCCAACACTTCATCAGTGTCTCACGCGCATTTAAGCAGCCACATATTTACTGTAGTTATACACACAGGCTGGAGAAACTGAAGCCTTGAAGCCTTCGAAAATGCTTCAGGTTGGGTTCACATCCAGTGTAGACAGATGTACAGATATGAACTTGTGTGTGAGATTGAAAATGGCAGCTGAGGTGCCCATGGTGTAAATGCATTCAGGGCAAGCTGGGATCAGAGTATGATTGGATCAGCCAGACCACATTTGGAGGTGGTCAGGCTCACATTGTGTTCGGATCTCAGCCAGTTATAAATGCAAAGACCCGTAGATCAGATGTCTTTATCCAGATACAGATCATATGTTAATACCAGGGGTAAATGGGCTCAAGTCAAGCCAGTGAAATGTCCTTGAACCTGCATCCCAACCAGAGAGCGAGAGGAGACATGTTTCTTTTGGATAAACCAAATATAATAAAGCAAAGTCATACACTCACATTGTTTTTTTCAAATTTCCAGTTGTCCTCCTGGGCTAGGATCTGTTCCACCACGGACATGGCCTCACGACCCTGTCTAACGTACTCCTTCTCCTAGAGGGGGAGAAAAGACGATAGAGTCACAGTCATCAGGTGAAGATGTAAGAAGGTATACCAGATGAGTATAAGGACTTTAGAAACTGATTCAGGTACCTGAGCAGTGACAGCTCTGCGCCCGAGACCCTCCTCATCCAGATCCTCTTCAGAGCCTGCAGATACAAGTTCAGGGCCAAAACTCAGCTTGTAACTCAGCTTGAGAAATGTACAAACACACTGGGGAGAATAAAGCTGCTAAATCAGACTCTGACTTAAGAGGCTGACTTAACATTTATTCATCTATAATCACCTGCGACAGATTCAGGTGGAGAGTAGAACTGTCCGTCTGAAACGGCGCGGGGATAGATCATAGGGGCACGTTCACAGGCTGCGTTCACCACTGCTAGGTAAGCTAAGGTCAAAGAGGGAAAACTGTCAAATAAGGAGAAACTGGTTTCTAACAAGTCGACTTCAGACTTCAGTCCGGCGTCTGTCTCTCACCTCTTTCGTCATCTGCTTCCTGCGTGAGCACCTTAAAGTCAAGAAACCAGGTCTCCAGCCAGGCCACCACAAAAGAGGTGATGGGCAAAACATAGCCAAAGGCATTCTGGGATAGGAGCTGTGTAGAGACAGAACATATGTCATCCTGAGGCTGCACAGCATTAAAAAGGAGTATCAAAACATCCACAACAGATGTGAGAGTTGCACTTTATGTTGGTTTACTTTGCTGTTGTTGAATATAAAAAGTTCACCGAGTTATTATAAATGAAACGACTTGATACTAAATGGAGGGAAATCCAGATGACAATATCTGTTTGATTCTCTGTGGCGCATAAAACAGTAAAACCAATAAAACTCTCATCATCGGATAGTACATTACTGGCATAAAGCAGAAGTGAAAAAGCTGAAGTGGTTTTAACAGCATCTGCTTGCACTACAAACACACACACACAAACACACACACACACACACAACTGTTCAAGTGTCACACTCACATTAGATACGATAACCTTGACAACAAGGAAGACACTGGTCACTAAAGTGGTAATCTGTGGAGGAAGGAAGGTTTGAATTTCTGTCATGATGCATATCCAGCACTGAAAATATGAGATTTTACAATATTTCATCAGAGAGAGTGTGTGTGTGTGTGTGTGTGTGTGTGTGGTCACTTACCGCAATAACCCACCAATGCTTTAACCGAAAAGCAGCATAACCCACTTGTAGACACAGGAAACGAAACACAGCAAGGAGCTGAGACAAGCAGGAAGAAACAGAAGAAACAGGAGCTCGGGCATTTAATGATATCACATGCTGCAGACATATTGGCTTTGTTAACATTTTCTGCTCTTGTGTCAATAAATGCAGACATGTGACCAAACTCAACAGCTCATTCAGATACTATAAATCAGGCTGTATGACAATAAAATCAAATGAAATGTACACAAGAGATTTGGATTGAGCCACTTACAAAGATGTCAAAGAAGGAAGACTTGAACTTATAACGGACAACCTCATTTTCTAAACTGTCCCAGATTGTGCTGGAGATCTGCAGGAGAACAGAGCAGAGTCCACATCAGAGTCAAAACTGAGTCTTAACCACCGCTGCTGCGGCCAAACAAAAAACAAACACTCACGTTCAGCTCAATAATCCAGAGGAGTGAGATGAAGAGCAGATCGAACGTCACAAAGAGACAGAAGGTGCGCCGGACGTCAGAGATGACCCTGCGCTCTGCAGGTGGTACGAACACGTACGGGGAAGGGAGGGACAGAGAAGTAGAGTAGGAAGCGTTCAGGGAGGCGATGGCAGGGAGACTGCCCCCAAGCTCCCCATACTCTCCACCCGGCATTCCTGCGGTGAGACAGGAAACTCCCCCCTGCAACAAGGGAGATAAAGTTGGTGAGTAATGTTGGTTACATTTAGTATCACTGTCCGCTCTCAGGGGAGAATATGCATGGGGCTAAAAAATGCAATATTATATTAAACCCACTTTAAGCTGAAATATTAGGCCTATGATATTATTCAGTGAAAATGAAAACAATCGAGTGATGATTCGTTGTCATCGTCAAATCTAGATGAAGACGAGACACACAACTCCTCTCCAGCGCACAAGTTTGCAGCTACTTTGATGAGTTTGCAGTGAAGCTCACAGTGGTCTGTGCCTCGCTGTGTGTGTGTGTGTGTTAGAGTTTCCAAAGTTAGAAAGAGATAAGAGCAGCGAACACAGCAATGCATAAATATCCTTCACTTCTCTCTCTGCTCTGCACTCAGTCTCATGACTTCCACACCCAACCACAGGCCATTTCATCAGGTTTAAGATCCAGAAGTACACATGATCCATTTGTTATATTCTGATGCTATTTTATAGTAAAATGCATTTTCCTTGTTTATTGCTACATCATCTAGATAGTTGTGGTTAAGAGGTGGTTATGCTCTTTCTACATACAGACCCACAATCAGTCATCTGCAATATTACATTAGCTCTTCCCCCTCCACTGACATCAGTAAAACCCCTTTAAAACCCCTCTCCTATCGTTAGCCTTGTAAATAACATAATGAAGTTATAACTGACCACACTCCATCTTTTAAGTGTGTGTATTTATTTGTTCTCTGTGCAGTGCATTTGTTTTCATGATTTTATCCGGATATTCTATACTTTTATTAATGTATTTATATCCTCTGATTTATGTCTGTTTTTATTTGATTGTAATCACCAATCACATAATCCTATAAAGTAATCTCTATATAAATTCCTTTGGTCAACGTTTGTTGTTTTTAAATGTGCTCTGTAAATCAAGTGACAAAAATAATTTGACGAAATTTGATCACTGACTCTGCAATATTACATTTGAACTAATGTTTTTCTCTTGAAGATGTTCCTGTAAAGCTGCCAACTCCATGACAGGGACAGAGACTACAATCTGGTCTACACTGAAAATGATGTATTCTCTGTGTAAATAAATTAATATTAAATTAAATTATTTGTTTGCCAGGTGTTTGGAAGTTAGCATATGATGCAGAATTTGATGTTAACTTAAAACTCAGCCTACTTCAAGTACATTTTAGTGGTGGATCATTTATTGAAAGATTCTTGCACGACAACTTCAGATTCTTGGCAGAACAACAAATCTGATTATTGTTAACCCAGTGACTCACAACCAGTGACTGAGTATCATTTGTTTCTTGGACTATTCGTAGACAATCAACTTGATGTCAACAAGCATCATGAGTCATCTCAGGTTTATTTATTTACCTCGCAAAGCTACAGTTATCAGCGGTTGCGTAGGAATCTTTTCAATGTTTAAAATTCATAATAATTTTTCAGGCATCCCCCCCATCTCCTCCCCTCACTTCTGCTCGTAAACAAACAACTATGTAGAGTCTGTCTCTCAGCTAGCAGGCTAACTTACCGTTGTTAACAAGACGCACACAAGACAGACAGAAAATAATCACCAGAGCCGCTGCTCCACTATTGCAGTTAACACTTGTAAACAAGCGCAGACGACCAGAAAGGAAAGACGGAGAACTATTTGTTAGCTACTCCAGTTAGCTTTTACTGGCTAACCCACCATCGTCTCTATGCAAGTTAGTTTCACTGGCTAACTGTTACACCGTGAGAAAATGAAATAGACACGTGATGTTTCAAGTGGACACTTACGGGAAGTGACGCCAAGACACAAGAAAATACAGTCAACTTAACCCCGCATCAAATTATCTCATGAAGCCCCCAAATTAAAGCATGAAACTCACTTGATTTATCGCATCATCATCGCACAGCGAATCTTCCGGTTCGGACCATTCAAAGAAGACACGTCGCGGCAAGATGAGTCACTGCCTCTCTTCAGCACGGCGAAAGCCACGTGACCGCGGCCTCCAATGCCCACAGTTCGTAACGAAATACCCTCTATACAGTCTCTGGTGTAACTACACCTCTGTCAATGTATGTTCAATGTATCGATGTCCGTATCGATAACAACTTGTGCATGACTGTTGGCCTCCACCCAGGGACTACCAATGAAAATGTGATTCTAGCTATGTCTGTCAATAAATGTGTTATGCATTAAGTAAACAATAAATAGAAATGAACAAATAAAAAACTAGTGGATGGGTCACAATGTGATTGTAGGCTGGGGTGACATAGCATGTTATGTATTTAGGGACAATTAGATATTTAGATAAAATAATAATAATAATAATATATATGTGTATATATATGATATAATATTATATTATTATACTATATAATTATTATTATTATTGTTGTTGTTGTTGTTGTTGTTGTTATTATAATTATAACCATCATCATCATAATAGGGAAATGGGATACTGGTGAATGCTGGGGGATTGGGGAGATATGGAGAAGAAGCAGGTCCTTTTTTGGTTGTTTGTGGTTTTTTGTTGGTTTTCATGCGTTTTTAATTTGATGTTTGCATTCATTTGTTTTTATTTTATTATAGTTTACTATGCAATCTAGTTCTGTTGCAGTATGTTGTTTAATGAAAATGCAGTTGGTGTTAGGTGTATAATGTGTAGTAATGAATAAACCATTACTGTTTTCTAGATTAGAAGATTTAGTGAATCCAGTGTGCTGTTGTTTCTGCATTTGACGTTTAATAGAATTGCTTATAATCCTGGGTACACAGTGTCCTCTTCTGTCCAAAGCGCGTAACTGCAGCACGTTTATTGTTTTATTTTGAAAGTATAACCGGAAGTATTCCTATGCTTGTATCAGAGACAGTAGAGAAATCTTTGCTTATATTACTAAAACTAGTTAGTCTAGCCTCCCGTCATTCACACCAAACGTCAGCCGAGGACGTTCAAAATGAAAGCTTTCAAAGTAGACAGAAGTGTGCACAGGCTGTTTTACAGGAATAAAAACGTTCAAATCGAAACACTACTACAAGATGTGGACCATGGTCTTATAATACATCCATGATATGGACATATCGATCTGTCAGACCCAGACGCCAAAGATCACTGGACCACCACTGGCTCTGTCAAACAATGTAAGATAATAAACTATAAAGTACTTTCGATTTCGTTAAAAAACTAAATATGACCTTAATAAGCCTTAAAACGAGTTTGTATCAGCCCTGCAATATATTACAAACATATTACATTTCACCCATGCGCTACAAAGTGTTTAGTTTATCAAAAACATCTTATTTCATTGCATTTTAAAAAGCACTGCATCCTTAATTGTGACCAGACCAAAGCAAAGAAATGAGAATAGCAGGGTGTTATGTGTTTTTGCTTTTTGTTTTTGACTTGTTTTTGAAGGCAACGATAACTCTCACTGTCGTGTTCGCCTTTCAGCAGAGGAAATGCGTCAAAGCAACTGCACATTTAAATGTCTGTGCAAAGCTTTTTGGATTAGCGCGTGAAAAACAAGTTTAATATGTAGAATTTGCAAAATTAAGAAAGACCAGTTTAATATTTTCTCGTTTTTTACATGGATTAAAAATATTTATTTTCTTTCACTCTATTAGTTGCGGAGAATAGTCACTAATGTATAGTGAATAGTCAACAGCATGTAAGAAGCATCGTCCTGCTTTTTTGTTGTTGTTGCTAGCTCTCATTCATTACTGGGAGCCCAGAGAATAAGGAATAAGTGAATGCATGAATGAATGAATGAATGAATGAATGAGATGTTTGGCACATGCATTGTGGTGTTGATTAATGTCAGATTGTTGCATAAAGTACTCACTATTAGATTTATTCTGAGCTAATTAGAAAAAAAGTTCAGCTTCCATCATCAACTGACTTAAACATTTTGTGGATATTAACTTTTTGAAATAGACAAACTTTAATATGGTTTGAATTCATTTAGTAGAATGTATTGTGGCTATGCTGTATGAGGACTGTTAAGACTGGATTTGCACAGTGAAACAATATCAGTGAATGAATGAATTCAGATCACACACACACACACACACACACACACACACACACACACACACACACAATAAGTACAGATCAGGTTGAAGGAGAAAAAGGAAAAACGGTTTATTTTGATATATTGTTGCTCACTTTAAAACAACCACATCACATTGAGAAACAAGAGAATGGGGAAATAAAATAAAAATAAAGACAGAATAAGCAGTAAGAGTTCATACATGTCTTTCCATGGTTGCTTTCTTCTGACCCGGGAGGAGAGGGGAGGTGGACGGAGAGCGGAGGAGGGAGGACGGCGTCGGCTGCAGAGCGTCAGCACACACAGCCTGCTCACCCAGTCATCCGGCAGTTTGGGCAGGTCAGAGGTTAAAAAAAGTTTCATACAGTTTTTTATATATACAAACAGAAAGATTTATTCATCCTGTGGCACAACTGGAAAAAGTCTTATAATCAGAGCCTGTTTCTTTAGTTCAATTGGAAATGATGGTGAGTAAAAACATTTAAAACTGTTGTTGACTCCATGAAAAGAGAGAGACCGAGTGAATATCTGTGGTAGAAAGAGTGCAGAAAGTTTGAGCAGTGACCGTACAGTGCCTGGTTGTCTGTGTGCTGCATGCTACATGCAGGCCTGTGAGTCTTTTGAGTATTTGGATAGAGTCAGTAGAAACAGGACAGAGCTGAGCTACTCATACACCGAACAATAGATTAGAAAAATAGCTCTGACAACAGATCCGTGACATACAGATCATGAGTGAACGATTAAAAAGATGACAATAGAAAAGTGTTAACATACAAAAGGAAATCTGTGAGTCAACACTATTGGAAAAAAAGATTTCAAATTTCCTTTTTTTTTTTTCTTTTTTTTTTTGATTCCTTAACAGGGAGTCAGTTCACAATGAATCGAGTTCAAACGCATGAGGCATGGAGGAAATGGCAGGGTTCTGTATTTCAAACAAATTAGAGGTAGCTTTAATTTTAAGTATGCTCAAAAATGAAAAGTATGGTATGAAATAACAACACACACTTGCTCATAAATTTACCACAATTATAGACAAACATTTTGGTGCTTGTTATTAGGTCACACATAAAGTGATACTCCAGGCCACATATTTTTAGTACCAATCTTTGAAAATGGTCACTGTTGTAATCAGTTGTAGATTAGTTATAATCCATGTGATCATTTAACACAGGTCTGATGCAATGTTAGCAGTGAGAACAGTAAACAGTGAGGATGACAGAAATGAGATGACATTAAAAACAGTACAGGTGGATTACATGCTGCAGAGAGGTCATTACTGAATATGAATATATTAAATGACAGTTCCTGACCATAAAAAGCTTCAAAAACAGGGATTGATTTTATGAAAACATTAAGGATTATAATTTAAAAGTACTTTGCCAAGGTTGTTCTTGGCTGGAGTATCACTTTACATCTGTCGTTCCTACTTTCTACCACAAGATGGCAGTATATGCACATTTAATGAAAGGGGCTAAACAACCAAACTGCTGCAAATCAGTGGCACATGTACCACTCTCATTTAAAGACCTTCAAGTACTTATGAAAGGGTCCTATAAGAGACAGTCTTTGTTAAAGTTAATGTGGTGGTTATTGCCCTCTTTAAAGGAACATTTTGCTCTGTGCACAAGCATTAAGGAAGAGAGAGGACTGGTCTTACGGGATATTTGGTCGCGTTGACCTTGGCCCCCTCTACTACTCTCGTTATAAACAAAGGGACATTGGGCCCAGGTGGCGTCTGTAGTCTGCTCTGTCAGTAGATCATTCCTCACCTGCTCATATGGGCTGACTCCTAACACACAAACTCTGTCCTCTCCTTAATCCACCTGACCCCTCAGAGGTGAAGCAGTACAGAAAGCTTTGCTCGCTCACATGCTCGAGTATCTGCCTTTCAGTCGACCCTTCGCTCATCCTCACTTGTGCATTCAGACTCCACATATTCACACATCCACAAAACACCTACTTCTTCATCTGTTTTTTTCTGAGTTCTTCATATTGTAACGACACACCTTCACTCTCCCCAAATCTTCCCTCCAATCGTTTGCCCCACTTTCTCGTTCTCTCTCGCTCTCTTTCTCTCTCTCTCAGTTGCTCCCTCGACTGTTCTCCTCTGTTGTTGCCTTGGTTTTGTCCCCCTCTCCGTCATCCTCCTCCTCCTCCTCCTCCTCCTCCTCTTCCTCTTGTGCTGCTTGGATTTGCTTGGCCATCTCTCTCACGCTGGAAAACTTGTCTGACTGCTCAGTGGTCGCGGTGTCTTGGTGATCTGAGGAGGCAAAGACTGATGTCAGCAGAGGCAGCGGTGCAATCACAACACCTTGTTTTGCTTTTGGTAATGGTAACCACTGATATCAGTGCACCAAAAGTGTCATATGGAGTGTGTTTGGTTTTGACTAACATACTTGTGGAGTTAATTCTAGTGAAAGAGATGCCTGGTGGGAAGGAAGACGTAGTATTGACAAGAATTAGTCAATAAATTGAATTAAAACATTAATTGATGAATTGTTTTAGGGAAAAAAAAGGAGACAAAATCCCTGCTTCAAGCCTGTCTAATGAGTGCATTTGCTAGTTTTCTTAATCCTCTGTGATAGTAAACTAAATATCTTTGTGTTTTGGACCAAAAAAATAACATTTAAACACATTATCTTTAATTGTGGGACAGTGTGATGCATATTTTTGACTGTTTTCTAACATTTTATAAACCAGAAAATGAATCTATTAATAAAGAAAAAATCTGCAGATTATTAGATAATGAAAATAATTGTTAGTTGCAGCTCTATATGCCAGATTTTCTCTCTGTACGTGGAGGCAAAGATTACGTAATACTATTGACATTTGTTTCTTGTCATAATTGCTTATTTAGTGTCACTGAGAAGCATATATGTGGATTTCTGCCTGATTAATATATGAATCAGCAAGTATTTGACAAGATGGACTGTACAAGTAAAAGAGTTACACTTCTGGTGATTTCACATGAACTGTGTGTTTATGTTCCTTTCCACTTCATAATTTCAGAAACCAACTGGATGAGAAAGGAAATGAGACTGTTTATTCTTATTTCTGCAAAGCTCATATGTTTAAAACACTAGGTTTCCATCACGTCTGTCAGGTGAAGATCAGTTAACACTTCATTTTCATCTATTTCTGTCTGTGACGGCGTCGATGTTGCCCGAAACGTGTCAATGGAAAGACTGGAAGAACAGATGAAGTGCAATCAAAGGACCCAGTCAGGATCTCTCAGCATCCTGCCCGGGTACTTTGTGTTTCAGCAGGCTTCCACAAAGGGATTTATTGAGAGAGCCTGTCATCTGGGCCAACAGAGCAATAATTCTGAATGAAATGCCACTGCTCTCATGTGATATCGTGGAGATTAAAAACCTATAATTTTGCAGCAACAAACAAAATAAAACATAATAAGGGAGTGTATAAGCAGAAAAGTTCAGATTTGTGTACTGCTTTCTCAGCTTTGCTTTGCTGGAGATCAAATGTGCACAGATACTATATCCAAAACATTGTCAAAAGGTTTTATATTCTGCTTCTGAACATGAAATAATAGAAGAAGGGTTGAAATACTGCACAGGATCATAGCCTCGCTCTGCACATGCAGCACGCTCTGTGTGCTTACTAATCCTGTCTGGCCTCTCTGGCTGGTGTAGGTGTTGGTGCTGGGCCTGTAGTCAGTGCAGCGCAGTGCAGTGCGCCCTCTGACAGATTTGGGGCGAGAGATAATATGACACTGGGGCTGTCTCTCAGCACACAGAGCTTCGCCTGTGCTGCTGGCCGGTGAACAGAGGAGCTTACGTTACCCTGAAAACTGCACAGGGCTCTTCCTCTGAGAGCAGCAGCTCTGACCTACCGGCAAAATAATATGGCTCCTATATTTTATGTTATGTCATTTGTTGCTCATTTACTTCTGTCTGTGTCTGCTTTCCTTTTCCTTTCAGCCATTACGTAATTATAATTATAATTTGTTTTTCATCATCTTTAATGACAGACAACATATGCATCCGGATGCATATTTTTTTCAAGTGATAGTCAAGTCTGTGGAGGTTATTATTCAGGCTGTTCAAGGACGAAAGACAACAATGGCTCCTTGTAACGGGAAGAAAAGGAGTCTGATGTCTCAAGCTGTGGGAAATGTGTGCAGACACCATCAGGATAAATATAAAAGGAAAAGGGCAAACTCAACCATTCACACAACCCTAAAGGAAAAATACACCTTTAGATATTTTTTCATTGCATATATCAGTATTTGTTCTGATTGTCAAGATTGTACACGTAGAGGGGATTTGTTTGTCCAAACTGACATCATACATTTGATCTTATCTTCAATTTTCCGAAACAGATAAGAAAGATATACACCACCAAAGCAAACCAGCTTTAGAAAATCAAGGCACAATGCCAGTGGTTGTGTTCTCATCTGTATTGAAGTGCCGCAGGGTGTATTTTTCCTTTAAAGAACGAAAACAATAGTGCTGTCCTTGCTGCCTCTGTGTGCAGTGTTGTGGTCCCAGCCGCTCCACAGAGAGCCTCCCTCTCACCAGCAGCTTTGGTGGGAGATGTGTCCTCTCCCTCCTCTCCCTGCCAGTGGTCTTCATCCTCCTCCCCTTCACAAGGGTCTTCCAAAGGAGGGTAGACACCTAGGTTCTGCATATGTGCTTCAGCCATCTTCTGCACAGCTACACACAGGTAAACACAGCACACACACACACACACACACACACACACACACACACACACACACACACACACACACACACACACACACACACACACACAGGGAGACGGCCACACAAACACATGGACGCAGACACAAGGATACAAGGATAAAGGGATATGTTGTTTTGGTTTTACCATGCTTCAACACTGTCAGTTTTTATCAAGCCTCACACGGGTTTTTGAAAACATGCCAGGCAGGCAGGACGCCAATTAAAGACATGCACTGACAGACAGACAAACAGGCAGGCATGCAACTGCAAAGAGGTGTCCCACACTGATTTTTACAGTAGAGCTTTCGCTGTTGTTTTCTGTCCCTTCTCTCACCCTGTTCTTCCATCTGTTTGTTTTTACCCTTGTCTTTCCTCGACTGCCCGCCCTCCTCAGCGCTCTCGCCTGGCAGTGCTGACTCACACTGTTCTCTCTCTCTCTCTCTCTCTCTCTCTCTCTCTCTCCTTACACACTCTCCTCACTTTTGTGACATTACCTCAACTCCCCCTCTCACTTCCTCTGGGTCACCTTGGCCTCTTTCACTCCTTCACACCCTCAGACACACTGAGGCAGGTCACTCTTTCTAGCTTAAGGTAGGTTACATAATTAGAAATTATTGCGAGATAGCGCTCTCTCTTTCGCTCTCTGCATATGAGCTGATGAAGGACAGATTTCTGCTGCAGGAACAAGGCTTCCTGTCTCATTATATCATCACTCCACATGCAACACACACCCAGACGTCCCCAGTAAATGGAGATCTGCTGGGACGATGAAAAATGTATATTTCTGCTTATTTAACAAACACATGCAACAAGCAAGAAGCCACATGCATGTACACATGCAAGTCCATGTCTGTGTTCATGTATGTCTTATGTGTTGGTGTTCATCTCTGTGTGTGTGTGTCTGTGTGTGTGTGTGTGTGTGTGCGTGGCACAGCTGTATACACAACTGACTGTAATCCTGGATGATCCAGACTTTCCTAGACTCACACTCAGTGTCTCACAGCTGTCACACTATAATCTCTCTCTTTCTCCCTTTCTCTCTCTGTCACACACAAATATACAGGTCCTGCTGTTGCGCGCACAATAAAGACCAGATATACGTCTATGCATATCACACATGCACATGCAGAGAATAGAGAGGAAACAAAGGCTTTGAACACATATCTACCCATCTGTCACATGCATTGTTTTCTTTCTCTATTATTATGAAGCATGGAAAGCAAGGAGGAAGTCGACTGTGGCGAAGCCCGGTAAAACAAAAAAATAAGGACTTAAACACAAGGATGAATCACAACACACACAGCTACCACCTGTAGTATCAATACTGCTTGTACCGACCTTTGAGTGATGGAGGCTGATACACGTTTGGATTTACACGTTTTGGTTTGAGCACTCCGTTCTCTCCTACGACCCACTGCAAACATAGAAAGAAAAAACAGGAATTCACCTTTAAATCCTCCTGAGAGACATGTTTTAAGACATATAAAAAATACTCTGGAATAATGATTTGTGTTGGGTGAGTTTTTCCACAAAAAAACTTTTATAACTTTGAACTGTAATATATTTTTAAATTACATCTGCTCTTTCTCCCTGGTGGAAGAATCCAGAATTTATGAGTCTGCAAATATTCTACATTTCTAACTAATGGACACAATACATCTCCTACTTCACTAGAAAGTCCATTCCCAGTGTGTGTGCACTGGAGGCTTCAACATCACACTTAAGTTGCGTGTTGGACCATGATTGGCAAAATCATGCTGGTGCGAGAGAGAGAGAGAGAGAGAGAGAGAGAGAGAGAGAGAGAGAGAGAGGAACGATAATGATAATGATAATAGTAACAGTAGCAGTAGCAGTAATAATAATAATACTGACGACTATACTACAACTAATAAAATAATAATCATTATTATTATCATAATTATAATAAAGTCCTGCTTGTTTCGAAAAACTTTTATCACGGGGTTCAGTTATTTTCAGCTTTCAGCCACATCTCATGGTCTTCCTCAGTGAGAATTTACTGTCAAACTGTTCATTCTAAAGTCAAGAATGAACCTTTGAGCTCAAAGAACTTAAAATGTTCAGCAGTTTAATTTAAAGGTCACTGAGTTTGAACTATGGCTGACACGACATGAGTTTGTGATGACGGACACATCGGAGGATCCAGCAGGGTTGAGGCAGTTTAAACATGACAAGGTAAACACCAGTAGATGATACAAAATCACAGATAATAATCACATCACAACACCAATACTTTGTCGGTGAGTTTTGTTCATGAGTGGGTGGGAAAAAAATCTGAGGAGGAGGGCAGATGAGGATGCACAGACACTTATAAAAAAAAGTGTTTTGACTTCACCTTTACCTGATGGGTGGACTGATCATCCTCAGGAGACGTTTGGTCGGCTACTCTGAACAGCGTGGCGGGTGTGGGCCTCCTGCGCCGGATCTATAAACAAACACACACACACAAACATAAAGGGCAGCCATAAATACACATGAATAATTCAACCGGCCAGCACTGTATTATTAATAATGCTCAGCTCAAAGCTCAATGTTGACAGTCCCTGCTGGTGAAAGGCATGCTGGGCACTCAATGGCTTCATCAGTGCTGCCGCCCAGTTGGCTGATGGGTCAACAGCCAAAATCAAGTTTGAGTGCCCAGTACTGGTCAGGTCAGCGTGAACGCCACGGTCAGCAGAGCAGAGGAAGACTCATTATGTCAGTTTCTGGTTTCACAGACTGATACAGTACACAGGGGGAGTAACGCAGCGTAGAGCTGGAACTAAACTGATGTTTGCTGCTCATGTCTGAAATGAACCGGCATTAAAGAAGTGTCTCTTGATACTGGATTGATTTGAAATGAAGGCCTTCCTCACATAATGTCTTAAGTGCGTTTGATTACGTGAGTGCACCATGTACAGTCATGTACGCCCTTACAAACAGAGGGACCATGGAAATAGGATTTTAGATTAAAAGAGCGGCGGCATTCAGCCTCAGACACTCCCCTCCACTGTCCAGTCTCCCTGCACACTGTTCCCTGGAGGCTGAAGCCAAGTCGCTGACGGCCTGAGAGCAAAACCCAGGGCCTGGCAGACTGCAGGTCTGCACAAGTCACTGTGCACAGTCAACTCTCTGTCTTTATAAGAACAAATACCCAGCTGTGCCCATACATCCAGCAACCGGTATCGTGCCCTGCTGGTGGGAATGTGCCCCACAGTTTTTTTTAATGATGTCTCCAGATTAACTGCTGAGGAAAATAATCAATATACAGGTTTGCAGAGAAGCTGATTGCTGTGCAGGAGTGGTTTAAAGTTTGTGTTCAGTTCAAGTTTAACTCTGGAGTAAAACTGCAAACTCTCTACAGGCAAACAGGAAGTGAGCGTTTGATACTCAGAAGATTATTTTCTTGGGGGGTGGAGTCTCACTTTATTAACCTACTGAGAGGCCCTGGGCAGAATGTGTGGGGCCTTTGCTTCATAAATAAAGATTTACACGCAGAGCCCAGTGCTTTGACTCACTTTCCAACAACTCTAAAGGATTAATAGCTGACATCTGTAAAATTGCCTCTTGGGTATAAATGTTGCATGAAATTTAAAAAAAAAAAAAAAAGTACACAGAATGAAAACTGTGAAGCTAAGTGGACATGGCAGCTCAGACAAACAGGGTATTGAAAGTGTCCTCTGTGGACGAAGCACAACCTTGACATGAACCTTGGAGCCGCTGTTTACGGCACCACATAACATCATAGGGAGCGAGTTAAGCAGCCTGACCGTATTTTGCGTAAAGCTGCGTTGTGGTCGAGTCGTGTTTGTGTTCGGCTCCCCTCTGTCTTGTTAAAGCGAGCTGTGCGTCATCAGAGCGAGGCGCGTGTTGCCAAAGCAGCGGCTTGCAGGGCCTCGTTGTGGAAATCAAACACGACAACACGGACTAATCGAGCGTTGATTTCACCCTTATTTATGACACCAGACACGCATTTTAATCTCGTCATGCAAACGTCCCGCTTTCCTGTCTCCGCTGGATCTCTCACACTATCTGTCTCTCGCTTTCACCTCTCATCTCCATCTCACTTGATCCTCTGCTTCGTCTGTCCTGTTTACCTCCATGTCCACCCTTCACTCCTTGGCAGTGCCATTACCCTCATCCACTTCTCCTCTCTCCGCCCCATCACCAGAGTGCGTCATAAGTGAAATCATATTATAATCCTGTTGTTTGCTGACATATCCATCCTTTCCTCTCCTCAATTGACCCCCCCCCCGTCTCCTTTATCTCTGTCCCCTGGCAAGGTGTGAAGGCCTGGGGCTCCACGCTGCTGTGAACCCTGCTGACTCTGCCTGCCTGACACCTGCTACCAGTGTTGCAGGGCAGCCGGAGGTGGCTCACACACACACACACACACACACACACACACACACACACACACACCCAGGAGAGTAAGCAGACACCAGATGTTGCCATGACCAAAACCTATGCCAGAGTCCTGTGGCATTAAAACCATTAAACTGGGAAAACCACTGGATTGTCCCTCTGGATTCTAGTCTTGCAAACTTGTGACATGGTGAGAGGTCAGAAGGTACAGGAAGGAACAGGAAGGTATTAGAAACGATCCGATGGTTCTTCCAGTTGATTTATCACCATGTCAACAGATTGGTTAATTGGTCAATTGAAAATCAATTAATAGCAATTATTTTGATAATTGCTTAATTGTTTTTTAAGCAAACATGAAGAAAACAAGTCAATTTGAAAATGTTCTGCTTTTCTCTGTTTTTTATCATTGTAAAATACATGTTTTTGGGGTTCTTGCTTTATTTTGTGATATTTTATTCAAACAATCAATATCAGTTGTGACAATAGTCAGAAGATTAATCAGAAATGAAAACAGTTGTAAGCCACATTCGTTATTAACTCTAGTGAATACATATGGTATTGTTTTTAACATAAATTACAAAATATCACTTCCCCATTTTATCCTTTTTGTTTACCATTTTTTTAATTTCTAATTTCTTCTTAAAACCACACAATCGCTGCAACACCTCTCCGCTCAGCTTTTCTTCTGCTTTTTCAGATGTTGTTCGGTTACGTCTTTCTGGTTGATGGAGTTTGCGTCATTGTTCTATTTTATGTAAAATACAGCCCTGGATAAATCCACAGGTCCTGCTCCTTTCCCTAAATGTCTTAAGAGAGACATTTATCAGTTTTACATCAACTGTAAATTTCCAAAGCGATGTATATGATGTCTCAGGCCATGTACCTTCATCCTTTATTTTTCCTGTATCTGTAGTGAAAATTATAAAACAAAAGCCAAAGTTTCTTTAATGACCCCCTAAAGTGGTGAAAGCCTTTTTTTCCCCCTCTAATGAGGCGTCATTGATAGAGACTGTTGCACAGTGAAAGCTGGGAAAGAGCTTCATTTACTGAGACAGAGATAAAAATAGGGCTAGTGAAACAACTGGAAGGTAAAATGACTGGATGGGATAATTGAGGTCACTGAGAAGCATCATCGGATGATCTGTTTACCTGAATATTACCACACGTGCAGTGTGTGTGTGTGTGTGTGTGTGTGTGTCAACAAGGTTATCATCATGGTGGTCTTATGAAATGCCAAGACTTGACCTACTAATCTAGGAAAAGGACAACAGTCCACGTCACAGACAGGCTGTAAAACAGGTTGTAAACGACACTAAACCACATGTCAATATTAAAATCATGGAGTCAATAAACACAAATGGATGCAGCAAACACAGGTATCTCTTTCTCTCAATTATGAACACAAACAGGACGTGACGGTGGAGGTGGTGACGTGCACTGTTGCTGTATGACATTGGCAATGCCAGATGACATGAACACGCAAAGTGACTCTAGTAATTTTCCAGCCTTAAAACCACCCCACTCTGCCCAAGTTACATAATATTGAATGCGACTTCCTCATTTACGCCAACACTGGGCCACAGCATGTGAGATTACTGCTGCTATGCTTCATCCTCCCCCACCACCACCCCCTCCTCCCCCTACCTCCCTCTTCTACTCCTCTAACCCCCTCCCCTGGCCCCAATCTCCCAAACCTTCTCCTCTGCTGGCAGCCGTAGTTTTTGCACCAAGATCAGTGGAGTTGCTGTGGACTGTGCACCCAGGGGCTCTAAGCAGGCTGCCGAGGTGGCCTTTCAGCCGCTCCACAGGTGTACGCCTGCAGGCCTCCCCGAGAGGCAGCAGAGCCTCATTAGTTTTCCTGCAGAGCTTTGGTCTCAATAAAAGCATCGGCTCGTGGATCGTAGCGCAGATAGGACATACATCAGTTCCTCTACAGCTCATGAGTGAAGGAGGGTCTACAATGTGTGAGAGAGAGAGCGCTGATAGAGAGAGGAACCTTTCAAACACCATTATATGTATGTACGTTGTTCCATTCTCATTAATGACTACATCTTTTTATCCCTTATTCTCACTGATTGGATGATGATTTCTTTAAACCTCTGTAAATCCATTTCAAAGTGTGTTTAGAGATTTGGGATATAAATGAAAATCATGCAAATAGTTGTATTTCATGACTGTCAAACCTAATTGAAGGCTAAAGAGGTTAAGTAGCCAGGAATGGCTCTGATATGAGACTCCAGTACCTCACTCTGTGCTGTGTGTGGGGTACATGAGTCATTGGTAAATGTTGACTTTGCACACGTGTTTGTGTGTGTGTGTGCGTGTGTGTGTATGTGTGTGTGTGTGCACAGGTATGTGTCTTGGCTCAGCAAAGTCTTGCATAGCAGCCTGGGTGCAGATCGGCTGATATGGGTCTGTTCCCCGGAGCCCTTCCTCTAAGCTGGTGCTGCCTTGGCCGGGCCTATAAAAAGCAGCGGCAGTAGGACAGAGAAAACTAGATCGGAGGAGTCTCCGGGGGATCTGAGACAGAAAGGCTCTAAAACCAGCGCTAACAGCCGAGCGTCTCTGGGGGAGTCAGGTGTGCAGTCAGGTGGCCTCGACGCAAAGAAACACACCATAGATTTCCTTCCCTGGCAGCTACCATCCCCTTGTGTCCATTAGCACTCTATTACATCGGGGTCATCCTATCAAGCAGTGTGTGTCAACTCTCTCCGACAGAGGTGAGAGCATCAGTTGGTTCCATATGAAGCTCGCCCTCTCTCCTGGCCCAGCTGTAACCCAGCTCCGGATGGATAGATATAGATTTGTTCAAGATTGATTAGTAGTTGTGGCTGCATCTGCCCACTGGCACATACTGCTAGAAATGAGCACGTGTGTGTGTGTGCAGAGAACATACAGTACAGTACAGTACACTGATGGGAACACACATAAGCTAAGGAGCAGCACATGGAGTGATTTTTTTTTCACAGCTACAGATGTGCAAAGAAATGTAGGATCGCAAACCAGCCAACAATAACAGCAACCCAAAACTAGAAACGAGAACAATATGTGAAACTGAAAGACATAGAAGTGGCATCCAAA